TTAACTATCCTAGATCATGATTAAATGTTTTTTCTGTGTTTGGACAAAAAAGAAATTAAAAATAAATTTTAGATTAATAAAAAATTATTTAATCTATGCAAAAAAGTTTTTAAGCTTAAATTTTAAGCTTAAATTCAGAGAGATGCTGAAATTAAGAAATAGTCAAAATGTTTGAACTTTTTGACATTTAAAAATTACATATTTTAAGAATATTATTATAGGAATTTGGTATAAATTTGTAAGCGGTTCAACCAATGTAGAGTTATTTTTCCCCTAAAAAGATAAATGATAAATAGGAAAAAAATCAAACTTTGTGTAGTTATCATCATATTAATTATTTTTATATCTAATGTACAGTCGTTGTTTTACTATTAAATTGTTATGGAAGAAGTTTAATGTAGTAGTAACTTTGAAATCTACCATGCTAACGGTATTAAAGTTGAATTTACCAGTTGCACATTTTTCTTATCAATATGGTCATATTTGTTCTGTAGGAGGAAATCCAGGCATAAAACTATTGACAAGTACTAGTTTTGATGGTTTCCCATTTTTTTCAGTGGTTTTAAATAAGGATGCTATGCTGACTTGTTTTTTCAAAGAGGTTGAAATACGTAAACAGAATTGTGAACATGATTACATACACATCGTAGCTGATAAATAGTACAAAATCAACTCTCATGGTTTTATTTTTAGTGTTCGTATTTACTAGGAGAACATATTCCATGGTCTGAGTTCTTCAGTGCTTTATCAAGAAAGTCAAAGGCACTTTTTGTTTTCCAGGGCTTAGTTATTGAACGGCTCGGACGCAGGCCTCTTCTCATCGGGGGTTTTGGGTTGATGGTTGTCTTCTTCGCAGTACTTACCGTCTCTCTGACTTTACAGGTAACACTACAGTCACTACATATTTTTACTCTCTCTTTGGCCTATTTTAAACACCAGGTGCTCAATACTCATTTGCCTCAGCACTCCTACGTAAGCCAGTCCTTTTAATCAGTTTGACATAAGGGTTTGAAGGTCTCTTTTGTTTCTTTGTGAATCTGTTGGTTTCAATGTACTATGGTTAGCCATAGCAGCTTTTGCATTAAAAAGCTATAGGGACTTTGTCACATTCAGTCTCGTAACTCAAAGATTCATGCGTATCATGAACTATTATGAACATAATTTTACCCATAGTTGGGTAAATAGTTTACCCATATTCCGTGCTTTTATCTTTGTAATGCAGTCTTTTTGAGATTTCTTTTGTATTTTATGTGTCATTCTTATTCTTAGACTTGGATTTTTTTTTCAGCAGTGAAAAATTTCCACGTTTGCTGTTTCTTTCAAGTTACATTTGTGATATTTTTATTGAAAATACAAAGACACAGCCTTTGCAGAACATCTGCACTTAAATTCTCAGATGTTATTAGCAGTCAGTTCCCCAGCTATTTCAAATGGTCAGAGGAGGATGATTAAACCAATCTAAATACTGAACCCTGAGTCATTTTTCCTTGTTTAACTTCCATTTTCATAACGATGCAGTTTCTTTCCATTCCTGAGGGCTTTTGAGGAGTAAAACTGACAGTCTGCAATGGCATGGTTTTGGGTGGTCTTTCATCAAGTTGTTTTTCTGCTGTTGTTGATTCCTGTCTCTTGCCATTAATTTGACTTTCAAATCTTGTTTCTTGGTTGAAGAGAGTCAGTAAGTCAGTTTGACTAGCAGGTGTACGCCACACCATTGCAAAGTTTTATTTGACTTACCTGTATGTACAGCACAATAGAGCTTTACTTCACGTACCCATGGTGACAACTGTAACACAGCTGTCGGGAAGAGAGTTGTTACTGCAAGTAAACAGTAAAAAATTCTCTTCCAGATCTTTTAAAACCTAGTCTGATCCGTGAGGACCTTCAGCTATTGTAACTCTCTGAAGTTTGAGTGCCTACCAGTTTTAGTTCCTTTCAGAAGTGTCTCAATCTGTTAAGTATGAGAGATTAGGTATTGCTTTGAATGAAAGACCTGGGGTACAAACAGGCTTGATCTCAGGGGAATTTGTATCTACTCTGTTTTTGCACCTTCTCTCTCTCAGTGCCTTTAGAGACCTTGTATCTGAGTTCAGATGAGAACTCCAAAATTATTCCATTTACAATTCCATTAAAGAACCATTTATAGTTTGTTCTCTTTTCCCTGTACCTGTTATTTGCACCCATGGCCCTCCTTGTCTGCAAAATCAGATTACGGCTAAAATCCCTGGACTATGGCTTTCATGTGCTTTGCTAAGGTTCAGATAGAGCTGTCAATTGTGTCTAGACTTCAGCCCAGCCTCTAACTGGGGAACTTTGAAGCTCTATGGGCCATCATAATTGCTCTTTTTAAACATGGCTGAAATACCTGAGGAGGATGGAGGCACCGGATCTGTTCAGTGGAAAGAAAAACTGTTTTCCAGGATGGCTTGAACTTTAGCACAAGAAATTGTAAACTTTCGGAGTTGTGACTTCTGTGGTGCAAGAGCTTGTCTAGTGTTTTTCTACAGGGATTCCACAGAGACCAAGACCTTTAATACAAATAATCTAATAAAGTTCTACAGAAATACTGTGATTTTCTAAAGTAATCCTAGACTAAATTCTGAAATAGAGAAAGAATCATGGAAAACACTATCTATTATCTGTGATTTTTTTAATATTGGTACGCACAATATACTTAACCGTGAATGTCTTTTACCTACCAGGAAACCGTGCATTGGCTTCCTTACCTCAGTATATTTTGCATCCTTGCAATCATTGCATCGTTCTGCATTGGACCAGGTATGTCTATATTTTTTCATGTTTCTTTGTACATCAAAGCACAGGTATTTTTGCACTGGCACTATGTTAACAAATTGCTTGTACGGAACTTCACTTTACCCTTATCTGATCACCACAAGCGTTCTAAGACAGTAAAAGGTGATAGCAACACAAAGTGGTAGCAATATTCTTGATAAAAACCCATGTACCCAGCATTCCCACTTAGCTGTCAGCATAATTGAGAACTAGTGCCTAAACCAGTACCAAATTAAAATGTTGGCTATTATTGTAGGATTGCTATGATTTTGTAAATCTATAAAAAACACTCAGACTGGAAGCTGACTGTTTTATTTATCAACACTTGTGTTAGCAGTTCAATGCCGGTAGGATGCAAATTGGACACCGGTGGAGGAGGGGGAAAGTTGTGTGTGGTCCCTTTCTTCTCTTCCTTTCCAAAGATAGAGAAGTGCTGTGCAAGAGGGTTTACACATACTCTCATACATTTCAAGTCTGATGCCCTCAGGCAACTGTTTTTGTAGGTTATAATGAGTTTATCACATCTATTTCCCCAGCCCGGTTTTGATTACTTCGAGATGGATGCAACTTTACAGAAAATCCAGTATTCCCAGGACATAATTTTTGTATTTTATTTGCTTTAACAAAGAACATGTTTAAGGTATAAAAAAGTAATAAAGCCAGACCTTTTTCAGAAGTGTAGAATGAAAGGACAAGAGCAACAGTCAAGGCTCAGCAAGGGCAATTCTGACTGGATAGAAGAGAAAAAATTTTACACTGAGAGTGGTTCAGTACTGGAAGACATTGCTCAAAGAGGCCTCTAAATCTCCATCCTTGGAGCTATTCAAACCTCAGCTGGACAAGTTCATGAGCAGCTAGCCCTGCTTTGACCAGAGGCTGAATTCCAGAAGTCCTTTCCAACCTAATTTATCCTAATTCTATCCTGATTCTAATTGCATCATGTCTTTGGAAAAGACATGCATTTTAATAGATACGCATAATATGCAAATACTTACCTGAGTGTAGTATTTCTCTAAACAGTGTTGCTCTAGCCTTCGGATACTTGATCAGAATTGGATCCTGCAGTTATCAAATAATGAAATGTTAACAAAAATTATTTGCAGATAGATAAAGAGGAATTTAATCCAAATTCAATACACATACAGAATAAGATGTCAAAACAGTGCTTAAATTTTCAAAGATTCTCTTACCAACTGTTCTCCACAAAAGTGGGAAAAATCAGCTGCTTTTTAGGAGTTTTTTCACAGGTTTTCTGCTGAAAACCTGAAAGCAAGACTTCTGTTCCCCTGAGTTCTCAGGTTTTTTCGTGCACCATTTATTGCCTCTTTTTCTTTATAAAGAGTTTGACATTAAACATTAATCAACTGTTTATACATCTTCACCACTGAAGTGATCTAATTAATTGATTGTGGTTTATTTGGGGAAAGAAAGAGTTGCTGATGTGTGTGACTCTAATGAAACATGGCTGTAATGCTGTGGATCCTCTTTTGGAAAAGCTGAGGAAAAATTATGCTGCTTTAGAGGAAAATGAGGAGAAGATCAAAATATTCCTTTTCCCCTCGCTTCTGGGAAAATAGTTTGTCACTAATCTCTGTGCTTATTCCTTTGCATATGGTAGCTGACTGGAAGAAGGAAGGAGTCAAACAGGCTTGATTAGGGTCATTAACGCACCTAATGTTGGACTGTACTGGCCTACGAAGACTGTTCTCCTTCCTCACCTCCAGCTCTTCTTGCAAAACAAATAGTACAACCAATCTTGCAATCGCTTTGTCCTTCCGTAAGAACAAATCTCAGGTTCAGCTAAGTCCCTAGTATTGTGGATATATGTTTCTTAAATGAGATTTTTTTTTTTTAAAAGAAGAATTCTGTGGAATAGAACTGCTCTTGCATTTTGAATGCCTAAGGAAAGTCAAATGTTGATTTGTAACTTCTTGAAAACTTCCCTTCCAGTGTTTTAAGTAGCTCAAATAATTTAAGTAAGTGCAGCTGCTTGCAACATCTACCTTTGTTTTTTTCTAAAAAAATTCTGTTGAAACAAATTGTAATTTTTTTCCATATTACAGACATGTTCCACTGATTTTTAGAACTTGCAGATCAGTATGTTCTTACATGTTGCATTTTCAACATATTAAGATAACCCTCTACATTTCTTCTTCACCTCACCATTCTTCAGAATGGGTTCTGGTTTTCTTCACTTAGCTTCTTTCCTTTTACCAATGCTATTCAGGATTTTCTGTTGTACTTTGCACTCTCTTTGGAGCAGCGTCTGCAGATATATGCAAGACAAACAGGGTTTTTTTGATATTACTTACTTGCTTTCTACAGAAATTCCTTAAAATTAAATCTTCTTTTGCGTTTTTCATTGTGCTTATCGCTTTTAAAGCCAAAGAACATTAATACTGTATCAGTAGCTACCTTGTTGGGTTCTCCACCTTTCCTGTGTATGTTCAAACATTTGTAGTACCTGACAATAGTGGGAATATCTCAGTAGCACTGAACATTGCTTTGCTTTTTATGAAAATTTTGTTAATTGACACTTCAGCTGTTGAGAAGAAGTTGCGAAGAATCATATTCTGGTTCCTCTGTAATTAAATAGCAATATTTTAGCTGACTTCAGTGGGGCCAGATTTATCTTCAGTGAAACTTTTCTGTTCCGTTTAGTGGGACTTGGGAGTTCTAAACTACTTGGCTACCTCTTAGCTGGGAGCAGTTCTCTTTCAGAATATGAAAGCAACTTCTGTCATTAGCCATGTTTTAAGATGGATGAATGAGAAAAGAGCATATATATTTTTTTCTGAACAAAGAAAGTATTATCAAAAAGTGAGACATCCACTGCTTTTTGTATCACAAGGCACAACTTCAATATTTGAGTGCAATTACTGTGTCAAGTTTTACCCCCACCTCCCACTACAGGAAAGACATCAATAAGCTGGAGCAAGTCCACTGGAGACTCTCCAAGTCAGGGACAGGAGCCCTGTGAGAAGGGGCTGGGTGAGCTGGACTTGTTCAGCCTGGAGAAGAGACAGCTTTGGGGGCACCTAGGCAGCCTCCGTACCTATGAGGAGGGTGTTGCGATGACGGAGCCAGGCTCCTGTTGGTGGTGTGTCGTGGGAACTCTTCAGAGACAAAAGGCATATGTTGAAACAAGAAAGGTGCAGAGTGACTATAAGGAAAAGCGTTTTGCTTATAGATAGTCAAGCAGGCTACCAAGGATTTTGAGTCCTTAATTACTACAGAAAGATCAAAATTGAGTAGTTTGTACTTCTGCTTTTTTATTTTGGAACTCTGTCCAGTGGGAAATCTGTATTTCTGGATCTTCCTAAATAGGGCAAGTGCTACTCACTCGCAGTTACTGACTGATTTAAAATTGGCTTTGTTTTGTACAAAACTATACTGTGACAGTTATACTAAGGTACCCTATATGTGACAGATGCAGCATATATGTGTGTGTGTATATATATATCTCTCTCTTATACATATACTAAGGAACTAAGTTTTTTCTCAGGGAAGTGTGCAATGCCAGTGGAGTGTCATGGTATACAAAGATATAATTTCTTTTAATGGGAAAGTCACTGCTGAAAATTAATCTTATCTTTCATTTCCTACTAATGTTAGAGTTTTAGCAAGAGGAAGTAGGTAGGAAAGAACACATTTTTTAACACATGTCCGACGCAGTGGCTGTTAGAGAGTGTCTAGAGAAAAGTACGAAGAGGGCAAGCAGGTGAGATACTTTTCCAGAACCAGTACACATTTTTTTCAATTTAGGGTCTTCCTGAGACACAGTTTCCAAGATTTTTGTAGTCTTCCATGAATTTTTTCATTCTCTGTCTGAAACTGTGCAAAATTTTAGCATCCTTTAGCAAAGAAATCTCCATGTCTACCACCTCTCATGTGCATGAAGACATCCTTTGTTTTGCTTTCCGTGATGTCCTTTAGGTCTTGCATTGGAAGAAGCGGAACAATTGATCCCCTTCCTCCCTCTTCAAGTTTCTTGTGGTCTTGTACAATTTTACCTTATCACCTCAGATTTTTCCAGACTGAATGGCTATTTCTTATTGCTTTCTTCTCAGTGATATTTTCTGACCCCCCCTTTAGCAGGGAAATGTCACACTTCAATATCTAGCATTCTTTTGCAGCAGTCTGGTAGTTTAACAAGACAAGGCTGAAGTTTAGGAATAACTTTCCCACCTTTCTGGTCAGTAAAAGGGTTTTTCCCTAAGAAAATTAATGCATACTCTTTATTATTAAGTTGCCGATTTTTAATGTTTTTAGACTTTTGTGGAAGGCTGAGCGTCATTTGTTTGTATTGGTTAAAAAGGTACTATTGTCATAGTATTACTAACGTTTAGTGTCTTATTTAATTCTTTCTGTAGTTATTTAGAGCATTTCAGCATTCTTCGGAGTAAACCCTGTAACTTTCTAGAGCATAAAATTGCCTTTAAAAATACTATGTTTTCTCTCTTTTAGAACATCTGATACTTTTTTGATAGCTTAGATGTTGTGTGGTCTCCCACTTTCTGATAACATATGGGTAAGTCCCATCTGCTCCTTTACAGCTAGGATCAGCTGTTACTATAAACTGTGGGGTTTTTTAATTTGTTTCATTTTTCTGAACTCAGCTTTTCAGCTTGCAAATGTTTTTCAGGCATATTGCTAGGGACTGAAACAGTAATGCTAACAACAGGTACGTTCAGGCATGCGTGTGGTTTGGTACTTCATCATTTTATCAAAAGACAAACAGCAGAAAGCTTTCATGCATTTACTAAAACTTAAAGGGACCCTTATGTTCAAGGTAGTCAATCTATGATCTGAAAGAAAAATACCCTTCAAAAGTCACTTACTGTTTTATAGATTAAGGAGCCATGCTGTTCCAGACAGTTGCTTCATTGTGCCATTAATTATACACGAGTGAAGGTATTTGGTTGTAGAGAAACATACTGTTTTCCAATATTACTTTTGATTATGGGAACACGTTAGTAGATAAT